GTGCTGCAAAAACAAATGGCCCGGGCTCGCCTCGATGTTCAGTTTTGATGAATGGTTTGACTTCGCCTTGACACCTCCGCAGCAGCGGGAGACCATTATCCTGAGACAATGTTTTATTCTATTGACATTATCTCTTAATTATAGCGTGAGCGATATCAAAGAGAGCCAGGGCCCACCGATTCCTCAGGCAGAGCCTCTGCAGCTCCTCCTGTCAGGGGATCCAGGAGAGGCTTTGCCTGGGGGCTGCAGCAGAAAGGGGTTTTGTACTGAAATTTGCAGAAGCAAGGAGGACTTCGGGAAGGCAGAAAGGTTTTCTGTGTATCTTTAAATGAGATTTTTGCAAATTTCAGAAGGAATTTGGCATTTGTTACACCTCAGAATACAATGAGCATTTGGATGAAATTTGTCTGAGGGATTCAAGACCTCCCGCTTCAGGGATCCAGGAGAGGCCCCGAGGTGAGTTACACGTTCACCTTCAGTTCTGGTGTCAGCTCCCACTGGTTGCACCCTGAGGGGCAGAGCCCAGCACTGCTGTCAGCAGCTCCCATTGGCACCAGTTGTTTGCAATACCATTTTGTGCATAGGGAACAACCCATCAGAAAGGGAACCATGGCACTCTCATCCTTGAATTCCCCGAGTCAGAGGCAGCAGCACTGCAGAGCTGCCACCCCAGAAGGGGGAAAACAACAGAGAAGAGCATTTTTAATATTTAATCTGTGCCAACTTAATTAACTTGCAAGAAAAAAAAAATGCACAGCACCACACACGCAGGGATGCAGGCTCTCCAAAGCATCACACGAGTCCCCGGTGAGACAGGAGAAGAGAATGCATGGCAGGCAATGGGAAAACCAATCAGTGACACATGAAACTTGTAATGCTGAAAGCTTTCCTGGAAAGCCAACCAACAGCCACCAGTGCCCGCTCTGAGTCTGCAGTTAAAGGGGAGAAATCTTTGATTTACAGCAGAGGACAGAGCCCGTGGGCTGGGTGCACACAGGCCTCACAGAGTGTTTCTGATTGCCCAGGGGTGGTTTCTTCCTGAGGCAGAGGATGGTTCATGTCAGATGGAGTCAGACAGCCCCCACTGTGCCCTGGTGATTTACAGGCACGCAGAGGGGCTACACCAACCACAGCATTCAAGGATTACCTAACGTAGGATGAAGTAGAGCAAATGCAAATGGCTGGATGGTATGCAAACAGCACGGCTGCTAAACTCTCTGGTTTCTTTCACAAGGCTGTGAAATGGGGAAAATGTACTTTTGGATAAGCTAGGGGCACTGGGGTGTTTATGAGCCAAAGAAAATCCAGAAGGTAGGGCAAGGGGTGGCAAGAAGCTCCCTGCAGTGGTCACAGCACCAAACAGCAACTTGTGGAGGAAGAGGAGTGAGCATGGGGCTGTTCAGTGGCTCTGTGGGTGGCAATCAGGGATGCAGTGAGATGGACCTCACCAGTGCTCCCTGCACTGCTCCAGGGTGCATCTGGACCCAGAACTAAACCAATTTGGAAGGTTAAAACCAGGGGACTGAGTTTGCAACAGCACCAGGAACTGCAATTTGCTAGAAAACAAAAAATCCTAATCCTTTATTTTCACTGGCACCAAATGTCCCTTAAAGAAGGTCCCTGCTCTTTGTGACATTCAGCACACTGGAAAAGCAGTGCTCACAAGGGATGCAGAGCAGCTCAGTGCCTGGGCTCAGAGCACTTAGTGCAGATAGGAGCTGTGAACCTGCCAGCACCAGCTCCAGCCCCTGCATTCCCATGGATCTTCTCTGCTCCAGTTTCCACACACGTGGCTGCAAGCCAAAGGCTTACTTGGAAAAGCAGAGGAAGTCTCCAGCAAGACGGGGGGAGAGAAGGAGGGAAATTCCTTGAAATGCTGTCTTTGGGGAACAGGTTTGCAGTTGCTGGAAATTCCTTCCCTGGAAACTCAGCTGCAAGGCTCAGCTGCCCACCACCACTCAATATCTCATGCTCCATGCTGTGAGCAGCAGGATGCTGTGACCCACAGCTCCAACTGAGATCTGCAGGCACGAGGTGAAGCATCAGCTGCAGCGCAGCCTTTTTCCTCCATCAGAACTCATCCAGAAGTTAATCTGGATGGAAAAGGCAGAAAGCAGCAGGGCCGTGTATGTGTTCTGGCTCTTTAACAGAGCAGCGCAGGCACAAGCATCACATTCTGCTCCGTACTCAGCCTGGCAGCTCAGAAGCGGCGCTCAGCAGCAGTCACAGAGCCCCATAGCGGAGACGGGAAGGATCGCCAGCTTGGCCAACCAATGCCAGCAGCTGGGGGCAGCGCCTGGCACCGCAGAACCTCGAAGCGGCAGCAGCCGGGCCGGGCACAGACACCGCACACCCCAAAGCACGGTCCTTGCCACCAGCAGCACGCCTGCAGCCTCTGGGAAAGTGATGAACTTACCAAAGGAAAACAGTACACTTTTTTTTTTTTTTTTTTTAATTCCTCCAAAATAGCGCTGTGTGCTTAACCCCCAGGAGCCACAGGCTGAGAGATCAAACCTTCTCCCTCAGGGGACTGCTATCGCCATTTGGTATCCATTTTCGATCTGACTGCTCCTTTTCAGGAATTGTTACTCTTATTCCAGAAAAGCAGCGCTCCCCAGGAGCCACTGAGCACTAGGGGGGAAACAGGGGGGCCTGGCTCTGTGTCACCACACATCACCACCCCAGGGACCCCTCCATGGTATCACCCACTGTAGAGAGTAACACTGCCATCCAGCACACACTTGGGAGCAGACTTCTTTGCCAAAGCCCTGCAGCCTGCGCTTGCTTTGGGCAACTCAGCGCACATGTGAGCACAGAGAACGGAGCACAGAGTACAGCACAACTCACACTGGTGCTGCAGGAGGCTGCAGAGGGATGCTGGCATGGCACAGAAGGCAGCTGAGGAGCAGCACTGCCGGGCACTACAATTACTAACGTTGTGATGTGGAGCTGCAAGCAGCTTTCTGCTTGGTGTCAGCCTGAGAAAGGGCTCAGTGCAGGGTCAACGCCACGCACAGCCTAGAACTGTGAACCCCCAGCTACCAGCAGGAAGGATGCTGGTTTCAGCTGCACGCACCTGACTCAAGTTTTGCACCAATACGATGCAGCAGAGCCCTGCTCAGAGCAGGATTAAAGACCACCAGCATGGAAGCACAGGCAAACCTGCAGTGCCCAGGCAAGAAGTTTCTCATGCTCTCTCCTAAACCTCCTGTGAGCAAACCGTCCTCCCTCTAGCTACTTCCCACCTGGACAGGTTTGCTGCAGCCAAACACAAGGGAAACCAGCTTCTGGCATTACTCAGCCCCCTTCTAGCACCTATTGCCTGGGGTTCTAGGCTTCTCCGTGCCACACTGCAGTAAGGGCATCTCATGGACACGCCGGTGCGCAGGGGGACCCCGAGGCCCTTCCCAGCCCTGCTGATTCCAAGGCTGCCTCCGGCACGGCGCCTCCACGGCACCACAGCGCCCCCTGACGGCCGCACTGCAGAGCAGCAGCCCCAGCCCGCACGACTCAGCAGCGCAAGGTGCAAAGCTGCGTTTAAAAAAAGAACTCTCACAACGCGTTTTTCCCAGCAGCTGATTTGCCTTACCGGCTGCAAGACGATGGAAAGTATAGTAACAATAGCAGAATGGCACTATCCTAGGCTGCAATAAATGAGAGCAAGTGCAAACACAGCAACCACGGACAATAAAAACAAAGAAAATCTACTTACCTTTAGAAGGCTTCCAGCAGAGATCGCCAGCAAGACCCCCTCACCTCCACTGCCAAGCCTTAAATGAAGTCTGGGAAGGGCTGTATCCTGGCTCTACTCCTTCCAATCACTAACGTCCAGTGTCTGCACCTGAGCTTCCCTGCGTTGGCCCTGCCCTCCCACCAGGTGCTCCATCACTGCTTCAGGCTACAGCTCAGCATTTCTGCTACACCTGTGCAGTAGCAATTAGCATTTGTGCCACAGAAATACTCCAGGCAAGTTCTGTTTGTGGGTCAGGTTCTGGGTTGCTGTGACCATCCCATTCCATTACCTGGTCTACATTACAGCTGTCCTGTGATACATCAGCCCAAGCTCTGCTGCAGGATGTGGCCAGCGGGGACACGGCTGGTTAGGAATGTACCAGCAAACAGCATACAGTGTTTGTTTCAACTCCTGTTCTCTTCCCACCTAGTAAGTGGGGTAGAGGTGAGAGAGGAAGAGCATTGCTCACCCAGCTGAAAGGTCAGCAGACGCTGGACAGCTGCAGTGGTTTCCATTCCCAACAGCATCCATACCTCGTGATGTGCAAGTGCTCTGCTACACAGGGGAGAGCAGGGCCTGCCCCGCCATGTTTGCATAGGCACCAGCGTGGGTCCCTTGGGCATCCCTGATTCCTGGCTTGGAGCAGTGAAGGCTGATGTAGCAGATTCCTTCCCACCACAGAGTGGCCCCAGCCCTCACGCTGCAGTTAACACCCAGCTCTACGTACCACAAGGCCCCATTTCAGAAATATGGAGTAACTTCTCCAAATCCTACCAAAGCCATCGTGACTGCCATTATTCCACACTGCTTCCTCCATCTGAAGGCACAAGTATCTTCATCAGCACTCTCTAACTGAGTGCTGATGGGAGGAGGGGGGCAGAGCAGGGCAGACACCTGCTCCAGCAGGATTTATGTGGAAAGCTGGATACACCAAAAAGGTTTTTGGTATGGCCTGTGTGTCAGTCACCAAAAGCAAGGAGGGATCTGGCAGGTTGGAGTGAAAAGGCTCCGGAAGGGAATCACCGGAGCTCAATGTTACAGCACAGAATAAGACATGAAAAGGCCGGAGTAACCCTGGGCAGGCTCCAGGTGCCCTGAAGAGCCTCTAGGAGAAACATCACTGCCGTGACAGCACTCAGAATTGATTTGTGGCATAGTCTGGTCACATCGAGTGGCAATAAAACCCTTAAGTGGCTTTGGGATAGCAAGCCCTGGTCATGCGAGATGAACAGTGGCTTTAAAAAAGATCACTAAATCCCACCAGTGCTACTTATACAAACCTTATTTATTCTAAGGGCTCCTATTAAAGTGCCTTTTATTCCTGGCAGTAGGCAGTTTTACATTGCAAAACAACAGATGAGCCAGCAGCTGCTTTCAGCCCTGCCTGCCCACGGGGGGAGAGGGCTGTGATGAGCACAGTCTGGCCAAGGCCCCTCACACACTGTGTTTTGGGTTCCTGGACAAGGCCTTTCCGGCCGTGCACTCCCTGTGCCTCCGTGGGGCTGCCCAGGACTCGTCCCCTTCTGGAGAATGGTGGTGATCTGAAGCAGTTCCCATCCCAAGCTCAGGCCTCGGCGGTGTCGTGGCTCTGTATGCAGGTGTCCTGGAGGAGCGGTGTGGTCTCAGAGGGCTGGGGACTCTGCGTGGTGGGGTCGTGTGGGTGCTTCTCCTTGGCAGACTTCTGGAGAGAAGAGGGCAGAGGTTACAACCCCACAGCACAGACCGTACAGCACGCATCACGCACAAGAATTGTGCCCCAGCGCCTTGGATTTCTGCATGGCGCAATCCTTCCCTGACAGATTTCAAATTGAATGCTTTTACATCTCCTGCCCCAACAGAACATTATCTCTGGTCCTGCCCACCAGTCCTTGTAACAACCCAGGAACAGCCAGCCTGTAGAGCTGTGTCATCAGGCAGAGGATTGTCTGTAAGCGAGCTGCACAGCCCCAGACATCTACTAGCTGTACAAGTCCCTGTTCATAGCTATAGTGTCCCTATTCATTGCAGGGGAGTTGGAATAGATGACCTTTAAGGGTCCCTTCCAACTCAAACAGTTCTATGAAACACACAGGGTCTTATCATGGACAAAGACCAGGAGGCCTGCATGGATGAATGAGCTGCTTCTGGCCAAGTAAACACGCAAAAAAGAAGCACCTATCTTTAAGAGAAGGGAACTACAAGCCAGGCAGCCTCCCCTCAATCCCTGGGAAGCACTGGGAACTATTTCCAGGCAACTAAGGACAAAGTCATCAGGGGCAGTCAGCATGGATCCACTAAGGAAAAGTCACCTTTGACCAGCACGATAACTTTGTGTGATTATTAGCAGCTCAGTAGGTGAGGGCAGAGCTGTGGATATTGCCAACTTTGGCTGCAGTAAGGCTTTCAATGCCATTTCCTGTGTGATTCTCATAAAGGGTACTGCCAATGGCCCACACTTACTGGAAAGCAGATACGAGTAGTGTACCTCAGGCATCTGCCCTGGGTCCAGCTCTGTTTAACACCTAACATCTTTATTAATGATCTAGATGGTGGGGGTGGAGTGCAACCTCAGCTACTAGCAGGTGACACGAAGCTGGGAGGAGTGGCTGATGCACCAGAGGGTCACACTGCCATCCCACAGGACCTTGATAGGCTGGAGAAATGGACAACAGGAGCCTCACCAGCTGCAGCAAGGGGAACTGCAAAGTCTGCATGTGGGAAGGGGCAGCCCCAGGCTGCATTAGATGAAGCACGGCCAGCAGCTCAAGGTGGTCCTTCCCCCCTGCTCAGCACTGATGTAGTCCTGAAGTACCGTTTCCAGTTGTTCTGGGCTCCCCAGAGCCACAGAGACGTGGATCTACTGAGAGGCCAAAGCAGGACTATTGAGATGATTAAAGGACTGTAGCATCTCATACGAGGGCCAAGAAAGTTGAAGCTGTACAGCCTGGAGAAGAGAAGGCTCAGGGGGATCTTAATTTATTTCAGGAGCTCAATGAAGACTGTAAAACCCCCAAAGAGTGAGGCTCTTCCCAGTGGTTGTCAGAGACAGGACGAGGTGATGGGCACAAACTAAAACACAGCTGTGATCTGAGCATCAGAAAATGCTTGCTTTTTTTTTTTTTTTTTTAATTTTTTCTTTTAAAAAAAAACCCCTGTGCCCAAGCACTGGGTAAGGTTGCACATAGAAGTGGGGGAATCTCCATCCTTGGGGATTCAAGAGGCACCTGGACATGGACCTGAGCAAGCAGGCCTAGGTGGCCCTGCTTGAACAGAGGGGTTGCAGGAGATGACCTCCACAGCTCCCTTCCAACTCCATTGATTCTGTGATTTTGTGTTTCTGTAATACAAACCCAGATATTTGAAAAATCAAATTCCCCATTGAAAGCCCTTGCAGGGCACCAGCAGGGTGCCTCTGTCACCCCCACCGCTGGGCCCTCTGAAGAACTTACCTCCAGCTCTCAAACTCTCATAGGGGAGGGAGGTGAGGAAAGCAGCTCCTCACACCACACTTATGTTTTATCCCAATCCTTGCTGATACCATTAGACCAAGTACACAGGGAGCAGAAACAAGAGTGTGTTCTTGCAGCCTGGTTAAGTGCTAGTACTAACACAGCTAAATCGTCCCAAACAAAGGCAGGAGATAACAGGGCTGCATCAAAGACTGCCAAGAAGACACATCTTCTGGTACACATGGACAGCAAACATTTCCATTTGATTGGTTTTTAGCAAAGTTCAATCAACTCTGGATGAGAGAAGAGCGTGTTACCTTGGCTGGGTACCCACCTATAGTCTGGCTTCCCGCAACACCTTAACCGGAGGCAGCTTTCTGGCATGGGGGGCCTGGGTGGCCTTATTACTGTCTGACTTCTTTCTATTGCTACTCCAAAATAAAGAGCATTTTTCCTAGAAGATAATCAGGCTCGTTTATGGTGCACTTTGACATGAATTCCACGAGGGTCTGATTTCAGGAGGCGATTTTAAAGAAGTTTTAATCACTGTTTAACTATAATTCAGCTATTGAGGAAGATTTCAAGATTTAGGTTAAACTAAGCCCTATTTAAGATTTTGATCAGCACCAAGCCAGTTTTAAAATGGTCTGTTTGCATATTAAATGTCTTCTTGCATAAGCTTTGGGTCGCATTAGCAGAGAGCTTTAATGCTGCATGTGGGCACATGTTGTGCCCATACAGGAGACACGCACATTTTTGGAACAACAGATGCATTTTAAACTGGCTCCTATGCAAACTAGACTAAGATTTAAGTGTTTCACAGTACCTCATCTGGACTGGTTTGATGGCCCACTGCTCTCTCTGGAAGCCAGAGAGATGTGAGACACACCAGGAAGGCACAGGTTAAGCAAGAGCTTCACGCTGGCAGACACGTGAAGATGGGGACAATGCCCCTCAGACATCACCTGTGGCCTCCAGAGAGAGGAACGGGGGTGATTAGCAATCATCACTAGATCAGCAGCACTTTGATTGAGGAACACAGCTTGGCTGCAAGTTGCTGTCTTCCAGTTTACAAGCTCTTATCTGTTCATTAGGCACAGAATTTAATGTGCTGTTGCATGGCTTCCTCCAAGATTTATAAAGCCATTAGGGCTACTGATTTATTTTTCAGGTAGTCAGATGCTTCTTCTGGTTTATTTTAGTTCTAGCACTTTGTGAGGCTCTGGCTGAGCACCCAGATGCAGCTGTCTCATGCCCAGGTTTGGGATGTTTCAAAAGCAGCTGTTCAGACAATTCAAGTGAATAGAGAAGGCAGCTTTTCTCCTACCCCCTTCCAGCATAGTGGGTAAGGCTCTTTGATGCAGGGAAACCTGCACAAAGCAGGGTGAGGAAATGGCAGCCCAGGCTGTCAGACACAGCAGCCCAGGAAACACCAGCAGGTGCTGAGATACAGTGGTGCTGCAGAGCAGGATGAAGCCTGCGGCCACCTGCAGCTGCTGGAACAAAGAGGGAGGCACACTCAGAGCTCAGCTGCTCTGGGAACAGCACAAGGGTCAGCACTGAGCCCCAGCCCCTCACACTGCTCCCCCACTGCCAGGTAGCGCAGGGAGGAACAAGGGGATTTGGAATCATGTGTTTAAGTCAATTAAGCAGTTGTAGGCTTGGTAGAAATCCAATTATGTGATACTCGGAGAACTCTAGAGCTATTTAAAGTGGGCTGATATTAGCATTTCAGTAAGGGTAGCTAAAGGTTGAGCAGAAGCAGCCTCTCGCCCATGCTCTCACCTCAACCCACTCATCCTCTTCACTGCCTTTTCATCCCCTCAAGCAGCTTCTTCTTATCTGCAGCTTTAGAGCCAGCTCAAGCTGTCTGGCTGTAACTCCAAGCTCAATAAGCTTGCTTTGATATAGGTTAGGGAGCTAGATCTCTACTTCAATGCTAAGCTCTCTAAAAGCTTTAGCTCTTATCAGATGAGTGTTTTGCAGCTGGAGACAGATCACCACCAAGTGCCTGAGCTGTTTTATATTCTGTCCCCACAGCATTACACTCAGACGGATGGGGCAGCCAGGCCCTGCGCTGCTCCTACCCACCCAAAGCTCCCTGCAGCCCTCAGAGGTCAGGACTTCTCACCCACAGATCCCTGCAGGCCTGACTCCCACAGATATTTAGAACAGCTGCACTTGCAGAGAAATAAATGAGCTTCTGGGTGAGGGTACAGACCTGATGCTTTACATGGAAATGAGATTGATGAGCCAGGGTTGTGCATTAGTTGGGTGAGCTGAGAAATGTTTCCTCCCATGAGAACCTGCTTTGGTCACTGCTGCGCACTGAGATGACCAGAATTGCTTTTAAAACATTTGCAGCCCAATTTCTTGATAGCTGAGGAAGTCCTGTGGTTACCTACTGGTGTCATTAGGACACAGTTGTAACAGAATCACGGTATCAGCCAATGCTCCATCAGGAGTGTTAGATTGTCAACTCAGTCTTTGCCATCCGATTAAATCTGGTTTGGCTAACAGCACTTCCCACCTGATATCTGCACGTTCTTACCTGACTCATCATCATGAGTGCAGCTGAGATGATGAGCGGGACACTGAGCCCGAGGAAGATGTACTGCAGGTAGTCTAGGATGGATGGGATCAGCACCAGGTTGGTGTAAAACTGCGATAGGACTGAGCCATCAATGTATCCACTCTGCCCAAGAAAGCAAAGTTGTGATAGGCATCTCTCTTTCATCCAGAGCAGTGACAGACCATTTGTGCAATGCCTCTCCTACCACGGATTGAGGAATTTAGGTCAGAGGCAGGCCAGAAGCTTGTACCAAACAGCTGGACATGCACACAGCTGTAGGACTGCACTCCCTAGCACACATTAGCATGCAGATGCTGGCAGTGCTGTTCTGGGTTCTATTTAACCCCGCATCCAGGACAGAGCCAGAGGTTTGCCAAGTACAGTGCAGGGTTTGTTTGACTTAGAAGGATTAATCATGCAGCCAAGCAGTACAAAGCCTTCCGTTGGCTGCTCAGTCTGGCTGGCTTAAAGCCTTATTCAGAGTGGAGTTTCCCCAGCACCACGGTTTCCCCCTTCCTGCACGAGACACTCTTCAGAATTTGGTCAAGGAAGGCTGCTCACCTCTGCAAACCACAGCAGCGGCATCACCACTGGCTGAATCTTCCCTGTTTGACTGTGGGGGTGGAAAAGAAACAAGCATTTAGATTCCTGGTTCATCAGACCACAGCAACTGTTGCAATTCTTCCTAATGGGAAGAGTCTGGCAGACCAGCAGTGGCCAGGACACTGATGCAAGAAGGTAGCAACTCCTGCTGCTTCAGGGAGCTCCCTGCCCTCCAGGGACCAGGTTCATCTTGGGCCTTCTGTGCAAAAGCAGTGCCAACACTTCCATTTGAATTTAGTTGTCCAATGACAGCAAGAAGTGCCATCCCAAACCTGGGCTCTGGGTACACTGATTCAGTGAACTGGAATGTTGAGCTTACGCAGATCTGAGATGTCCCAGTCATCTGCATGGCACTGCAGGGCAGTACTGCCAAGTTCAGAGCACAGAGATCGTCCGCCAGCATGCACAACAGGGCCAGCATTTGTATTTCAACTGTTCAGTCAGGTGCATGAAGCACTGCAAGAGCTGAGCCAACAGGCAGGCACACAGCACTGCCAGGGGACAGCAGCTGGAGGTCACTGGAACAGCTGACCCCACACATCAGCCAGCTGGCTGCTGCAGTGGTGACACTGCTAACATCAAAGCTCTCTCCTCTGTCAGGGTGAGTTCTGCAGGGACCCCAGAGCCAGCAGCACTCCCTGCTGGATGAAGAGATAGCCACTTTTAACAGCGAATCACTTACAGGATACCAGACACCTGCTTCATGTACTGGTTCAGCTGGAGCTTGATGGAGCAATTCATGGGGATGCCTGTCATCTGCATAGGAAGAGACCAACCATTTCATCAGTACAACTCACACATATTGTGAGAGCTCTGCAGAAAACTGGCTCTCCACTTTCCTCCCCAGCTGCTCCAGGTGCCAACTTCCCAATGAAGCAGTGAATTGGATCACTCAGAGATCCACCACACATGGCCAGCAGCAAGGCTGAGTTTCCAGTGTACCAGTGCTGGTCAGCCCCACGCTGCTCCCCAGGCTCTGAGGATGACTGCTCACATGTGTAGTGCACGTGTTTAACAGGCAGACTGCATGAACATGGGGAGGTGCTTTACAGGACATAGGGCTCGTGGGACCAAACCCAATCAAGTTTAAAGTTACCACGTAGAACTCACAACCTGCAATTGATTCCTTGGGCAGGGTGTTTTAACAGAAGCTTCTATTCCTGAGCCTGATGAGCCTCTTCTGTTGTTGAACCTATCTGCACTTGTTTTGAGAATACATCAGCACACAACATCACACTTCTAAGATGGTCCTTTGGCATTGGCTCCTCATGACACTGCAGTTCTCTGACATACTAAGGGGAGGGTATTTTGCCTGGATTGCCCATATTTGTACTCAGCAGGCTGGGCTAGATAACAGTGAATTGTACTGTTATCAGAAGAGCTTTGATACTGTAATAAACTTAATTAGATTTCCGTAAATGTGATAAGAAAAGGAGCGAACCCAATGCCTGGGTAAGAAGTTTATCTTGCCTTACTTCAAGAGGGGATTGGTTTCTTGCTCAAGTTAGCACCACTGAACACTTGGAAACATTCCACTCATGGCCACATGCAGAGTGGGCCACAAGGGGAAGAGCCCCATGTCTTCTCCCCTTCAACTGGGGAGACAAAGATGACTTGAGATGGCACTGGTGAGCAGCTTCATCCTTCTGTTCAGTATGCACGAGGTGCAGCAGCAAGGCTGACAGAGCAGAAGCAGCCAGTCAGATGGGCTAGTCAGGATGGAGGAATAAGCCAGCCCCAAAACAGCAGCAACAGGTGCCCTACAAAGTGGTGTTCAGACTTTGCCAGTCATCTCTCATGGTCATACATGTTTACAGACCTGGGCTGCTGCCAGATACACCTCCTGGTGTCACGGGCCTTCCTGAGTCAGTGGAAAGAAAAGGACTGCGCTTATCAAAACAATTATGATTCCAATTAGTCCTGCAATTCCCTAGAAGCTAAGCTAGTTATTCAATTAGTTTATGACTTTGGTGTTTTTTATCTGCACACGTCCTTACCACTTTGCACTCTGGAACCTGCTCCAGTCAGCACCAGGAGAGCAGCATGGGGCTGACAGGCAGGGTAGCATGCTCCCATCTCCACCACACAGCCTAGGCCAGCCCTCCCGGCCCCTCATCAGGTGTTGCCCAGCCCAGGTCCAGACCCAGCAGAGCAGGATCCCACCAGTCCCCACCACAGGGTGTTTACCAGCCCCACTGCACAGCCTAGGCCCAGCCTAAGGGCAGCCATTCCCCCCAGCCCCACTGAACAGCTTTGGCCTTGCCCTGGGGCAGCCACCTCCCAGCCCCTCACCGGGTGCACGTCAAGGAAGAGCGCGTGCTCCTCCTTGCTGGGATGCAGGCCTTCCACAGCATCCACCAGGCTTGGGTCAGCATTGTAGAAGTGAGGGTGGGAGATGAACATCGGTGCATCTGGGTGAGAACAGAGACAACTTAAGCTCGTCCATCTGAGAGCACGTTGATATTTCTAAACCATTGCAGAATTTTTTTCTGCTTTTTCATGCTTTTCTATTCTTTTCCCCCAGCAGCTTGTCGCACCAGAAAGGTTCAGATCCCACCTCTAAGCCACCTTCACCCCACACACCACCAAACACTCATCAGCCACAAATGTGGGACAGAACACTGAAGACTGAATTCTCACTCCTGAGTGATCTCTACTCACTGTCCAAAGTCAAAGTTTAGCTTGGCAGTTACACAGCCAGCTTTCAGCCTGGGGGAGGTGATGCTCCATCCTACCCTCAGCCATTTCATGAACAAGCAGAGGGCTCTTTCAGCAGCTTTCTCACTCTCCCCTTGCTCAGATGAATGCACACATACCCCAGAGATACCTTCCAGCCCTCTGCCAGGCAGCAAAGCAAGTTTTTGGACAGGTAATCCCATCCCACCTGCCCCAGACATCAGTATGGAAAGGGGAATTGCAGGACTCACTTAGCCTGCAGGAGCTGACGTTCTGGATGCCAGACTGCCTGCAGGGACAGAAGCCTTCGTTGGGGGGATAATCTGTGCCATTGGCAAAGAGCGTTTTCGGTGCCACGAAGCGATAGGTGGGCACCCCCTTGAACTGTCCCGACTGCTCGTACACCAGTTTCATGGATCTGGAAGGGTTTTGGTGAAGAAGGATCAGGATTAGCCAGCAGGTTCTTAGCACAGAAACAGGCTCTTATCTTCACCGGATAAGATGCAGTTGCAATGTAACTTAGACTTTGAGATCAAGATAAACACTCCGAGCAGAGCTTTGGATTGGGAATGAGTATCTAAGCCATTTGCTTTCCATGTTTTAAGCACAAATACAAGGCTGGTCAGGACTAGTTGTGGAGGGAACCACACAAGCTTATAAATCTGTTTGCAGAATCCAGAATGGATTTGTTTAAGGGCATGGAGTAATCCCCATGGCCGCTCTCCCAGAGATAATGCTTTCTTTGTGCTGGCACTGGCCCCCGAGATAGAAGAGCTCTGTCACAGCAGATGGACACTGGCTAAATCTGTTTTCTAGCACACAGCCATCAGGAGAGTGGAAAATTTCATCTTTTGAACTACACTGTACAGCAAGATTTTAATCCAGGTAAAAGAGCAGCGACTTTATGCTGCATGCATCAGTAGATGCATGTTTCCAGGAAGGCAGTTCACTCCTTTGCACTCAAGCAAGACCCGTGGGGATGCAGCCAGCCCAGCCAAGAAGGATGCCCATCACTACAGCTGCCTTCTGCACAGCACTGATGTGCACGCTTCTGTGCTGTGCTCACCCTCCAGCAAGAATCACAGGAAACCAAGCCTCCTGCTCGATTTTACACCTTGCCAAAAACACTTTACATTCTCTACAAGACCTCCACAGTTCTACAAAAACAGGTATGTTTAAATAAACTTTGACTACCAGTAAACATCCCTGCAAGTCCTTGGCTCTGAGTCATTTTGGTATTTGTTGATGACTCTTGTGTAGAGGAATTCCTGCACTAATACTGGGCTCAGCTGACTTTGCTTGTTGGCTGAGGTCACTGATCTCTATTCAGCAGGAGCACTTTGCTTGTTTTGCAGCAACTGCATAGCCGAAATCACCATTATCTTTCCCTGGCTGGGGACAGAGCTTTGTATCTGGCCACCTCACTTCCCCTCCTTCCAGTCTCAGGGTGTTTCCACAGGAGCAGGGCAGGCTCCAGAGGTACTTTAACCTCTGCACACTCAGCTGAGACCAGGGCATCACACAGGCACAGCTATGCAAGAGCAAAAATGAAGCAGCGTAGGAGCAGTGGCACAGCCCCCAGCATTACTTCTGCAGTAGTTCTGTGGCCAAACAGCATTTCCTTCTGACAACCTTCATTTCCAGCCTTCCTCTTCCCAAATTTTGTCTAGACTGGTTTTCAATTCAGTTAGGTTAGGCTTCCCCAGCAATCCAGAAGGTATTTATGAACATCACAAGACGTAGGCAGACAGCTCTACGCTCTTTGCAATGCTCTGACACTACAACACTGAACTGCAGCAGAACATTCAACTACAGGAACTCTGCCCAAGTCCTCTGCATCACCACACAGCGCTCCGCAAGCACCAGAGCATCTCCCACCATCAGCACAGGGACTGCAGCTCTGCGCCTGCTGCAGCCTCACCTGCAGGCATCGGGGCTGTAGAACTCCAGTGATGTTGGGGACATGTATGGTGGCCACATCTCCCCTGCAGTCCCGTTGATCATGTTGCACTGATTGCTTCGCCAGTAGTTCACCTGTTGGATGGGTGCAGAGAGAGGAGCTCAGTCCTATCAGCTCAATGTTGACTTCCATCCCTGCCATGCCATCCAGAGTAGCTGGGGACAGCAATGCTGGAGAGCTTTCAGGATGGGTCCAACTGAATGCTTCTTGCACTGGGCTGCCTTCTGGTCATTCTGCCTTTACTTTGACATTCAAGTTCCATAGGAACTCGCTTCCAAACTTGTGACCCACTGATACAACAGCACCAAAAGCTTTCAGTTAGCCTTGCTCTACATCAGGCACTGCCCCTGTACCTGAGTTTTGCTGCCCGATGCTTACCTTTTTCAAGCCATTCCATGAATCCACCATATGAACTTGACTGATGTTCTTCATGCCTGTATTCACTGTGAACAATCCAGAATTGGTGTTGTTAAACTGCAGAGAGAAGAAATTAACCTGTAATCCATCACATGCAGAAAGCCTGCAGGGTGCTAACACCTTTGCATACTTCATCATTAGGAGCACTTCACATACTGTAAGCTTCTGAAGTTTCACGTTGGTTGCCAGAGACAGCTTCCAACACAATTTTCCCCTCCAGCAGAAATGTAAGGCGCCTTACACAACCGCCATCAATTACACATGGCTGCTCCAAGCAGTTTGTGAAGGAGACAGCCTGCATATTCAGTAACAAGAGCAATATGTCTGGGACTTCAGGGTTCCCAGCAGGAGTTTACTCACCTCCACAAATATGCCAAATTTTCCCTTGAATGGGATCAGGCCAGGGACAAGGGCATTTATTGTGTCTAAAAGAGGGTCTTCATAGCCCCACAAGATCTCCCCCACTGTCCGGTTAATGAAGGCCTCCTGCTTCAGGCCAGCCAGGGCCCCACTCAGCAAGAACTTCACAAAACTGGGTAGGTTTTCCATCATGACAGCTGCTCCCTGTGAAGGAAAGCAATCCTTGAGATCAGAGCCCTGCCTTTGGCAGAGAGGATGCAGTGCATCTTCAGCACGCAGCACAGCGCTCTATGGAAGCCCTTCTGACAGCCTGCGGGGCACCATTCAGCCCACAGCTGGGAAAAAAGCAGTTTGTGGCAGCAGCCACAGAGAGCTCACAGGTTTCATTTCCCCAGATAAAGGTTGAAGACAGATGAGGTTGAAGACTTGAGCCCAGCCCCTCTAATCACTCTGATTTTGGAAAGGTAGCAGCCCAACGTGACAACCGATAGACAAAGAACTGTACTCTGTAAGCTTAATCTTGTGGCTTGATTGAATTCAAGTCTGACAAGAAAAGAAGCCTCAGGTTAACACAGAGCATCACCACCCTGCCCGCCAGCCAGCACGTCTCTGGGAAGCAAGTCCTTACCAACATCAAGATGTTGGGCATCACTATGTACTCATCTTCGGTGCCGTTGGACAAGTCGGGCCGGAAGAAGAGCTGCCGGTACTCCAGGTAGGAGACTGTGTCGTTGTCATGGAAAGTGATGTTTGTTTTATACTTGAACTCTCTGCAAAGAGAAAAGAGACCTTGGGAACCTGGCCCCATGTGGTGCCAATTGCACTGTGTGTGAAGCAAGGGCAGGCCTTGGCTTGTTGCTGAAGAGCAGAAGAAGGAGAGCAAGCCCCAGTCAGGAGCACCAAGCTGCAGGAGAGGCAGTAGAACAGCTACTGAGAAGCCTATATCTATGACAGAGATGCTCAGATAAGTCAATCAACACCATCCCACACACTGAAACAACCTCTGAAACAGGAGAGCCAAATAAGATGGCACAAGCTCCACAGTCAAATCCGTGTGAATTTGTCCCAGAGCTCCCTACTGGCTCCTGGGCAGCCGCACATGAAGCTCAGCCCCCACAGAGCATTCTGGCTCTGCTTCTTCTCTTTGGGTCACTCTCCTGTGCACCACCCAGCTCCTGCTTGCTGCATGCTGTTAGGGAGCCCAGCTGCAGCAGCCCAAGGTTGTCCCCAGCATCCCAAGCCAGTTACAGCTCCATGGGGAGCTGCAGCTCAACGCACAAGCAGAAACAAAGTCCTTTATTGTGGAGCCTATTTTATGGTCCATAATAGGGAAAGGCACTAATCTTGCTCAACAGGAACATAAGAACATTAATAAGCTTTACCCCTTTGTTCATTCTTACTCAGTGTAAGTGAAGCCTTTTCCCCAAGCCAAGTGACTGATCCAATCACAACGTACAGAACCTACACGGTTCTGTGGTGTGACCAGCAGACCAGGGGAAATGAGGGCATATACATAGTGCCAGGTTTCCCCCAACGCTACTCAAACAGCTTTGGGATTAGACCTGTAATCTTCCCACATGAGCTTGCTTAGGCTGCTGACCTGACCTTGCCTACATGTATAGGCACTAACATGTCAAACATTGTTACTTACAGGTAGGATTATGTGCTCAGTTCAATCTCTCTCATCACCTCACACAGCAGGTCTAGAGAGGGACTCCAGCCACCATTCTTAGCCATGGCAAATAGATCAAGCCCTGTTGTTGTTGAACCTAGCCAAGATACGGTGCTCTGCACTGGTTCTCATGTTGGGCAAATTCTGCATCCCGTCATAGATGATGGGTCTTAGATCAGTGCAGGAAGTCTGAAGCTTCATATCAAGGAGATTCCAGCTCTGGAGCTAGATTCCTAAATGCACAGTGAAGATTAAACTGAAGCCCAAGCTGAAGATGGGGCTCACCCATCACCATACTAACAGCTAGCAGGTCCCAGCAGAGGACCAAGCTCCACAGCTCACACTGAAGCACCAAGCAGCCTCACAGCCCTGCCAGCCAGCGGTCCTACTGATGGTTTTAGCAAGATCAGAGCAATTACTTCACATTTGGATTGCTTTAAAACCCTGTGCTATCACTCAGGCTGGCTGCACTATTGCCATTCTGTCCTCCTGGAGGAGCCAGCCAAGAGTCTGGTGGGCAGCACAGCAGCTCACACACAGCTGGACCACAAGCAGTACCTGACCTGTAAACATACGGTCCACGCTGGGCCACCTTTGGCTTTGCTCCCTGGAGGACCTCTTGAGGGTTCTGCACTTCAAAGAGGTTCACCGTCAGATAAAAAGGAACAGGGATGTCCCTCCACATGTTGAAGGCGATGCTGCTGGGATCAATCCTCACATTCTGCAAAGAAAGAGAAAGAAGATGGGCTGCTTGGCCTTGGAGGCTGAGTACACCCACTGCTATTTCCCACGCCAGGCCTAGCTGAAGGCAGAAGTTTCAGCAGTGGATCTCTAGAGGACACAGCACGTTATGCAAACTGAAACAGAGCCAGTTCTAAACTCCAGACTTATGCGTGCAGAAGCATCAAGTATGTGCCACAGGATGTCTGCAGGCTTATTTATTGAAGCTCCGCTTGCCAGACTCCTACCCACAAGGTTTCAAAGCTGCTTTGAAGTGCTGGAGGCTTTCACCGTGCTAGACAAGCCAGCACTGAATTATTCACAGCTCTGGTGGTTTGACTTGCCTGGCACAAACAAGCCCATCCTAAAATCTTCCACTTGCTTGCCAGGTATGGCAACTCCATAGCTACAACTACAAACCACGCAGCTCTTGGGTTATCCCAGAATAGATGAAGAGAATGGTGATGCCAACCAAACTGCATCCAAGTTGCTTTTGCTTCCTCTCAGATGTAATCCTGCAGAGATTCATGTTCATCTTAATGCCGTTTGAAGGCAGTGCACAACTGAAGCACAGGCATTACCCAAGCCCTCACCTCCTCTGCAGGCACTCTGCTGGCAGCTGGCTTCCTGCCTCCGGTCCTTCCCAGTCTCCTGGGAGCTGCCTTACGGACCAGCAAACCAAAAGCTCGTTTCATCTTAATCACCTATTTTGGGGCACTCCACTATTACCTCTGCTTCCTCTGCAAGTACAAACTCTCGCTGCAGTTAAGTAACACGGCTCAGAACTGCGTTTGATCCACTAATCATCAAAGGCACGCGGGCACTCCAGCTCCAGCTCAGCCCCACAGCTGCTTGCTTTGACCCCATGGCAGGAACGAGGAAAAAGCTGCCAGCAGCGTCACTGGCAGAGAAGCAACCATGGGACAAGAGCAACCCAGACTTCATCTAGATTGTCTTATAACCCTTTCCCTGTGCACCCAGCAGAGTCTGAACACGGACATCTGCTTTTCTTTACTTTTTTTGTTCTGCTTTGCATTCCCTGGGCTTCCCGTTGCATATGCATGCATTTATGTAACACACACAGGTTGCATCCCGACCGCCTGCTGCCCTTCTCAGCCTCCTCTCATGGGAGCCCAGCAGCTCCAGGCCCTGCACAGAACCACAGGGTTGCTGAGGTTGGAAAAGAGCACTAAGCTCATTAAGTCCAACTGTAACAACTACCACTAAATAAGATACGCTGATCAGAGCAGCCTTGGAGTCAAGCTACATGAAGATCAACATAGATGTGGCACATGTCTGGAATAAAAATAGAATTATTTTTCACGCAGATGGGTTACAAAGGGTCACTGGGTGGTCTGAGATATCCTGACCATGCTAAGTTCCTGAAGAACTGAAAGCAACGGGTTACCATGCGTCTCCTCCAGACAAAGACAGCAGCGTAAGCACTGAGGACAACAGTTCCTACGTGGAGTTATGTGATAAGTGCCTGCCAAAGGCCAACCAGCCTCCAGCCCTGCCCAAGCCTTGCCACCAGCAACTCCTCACACCCACCACTCCAAACACTGCCCCAGGAATCTCAGCTAGGCCCTGCACGCTTCTCACCACCCTGCATGTCACTCCATTGTTTGTTTTCCATTTGACTTTAAGCTGTGTAAGAATTTGGGATCCTTCAAATCACGTGGAAGATGAGGAGACTGCATACTTGAGATGAAGTGAGCCCTGAGGAAAAAGAAGGGTCAGGCTTCTCCTCGCTGAGATTCACTAGAAAGTAGCTGAATCGGGTAGTTCCCCAAAAGAGGGGAAGTCTGGTTGCACTGATCATGCCATATGTTTACAGGTGCCAGCACCAGCTCTGCACAGCCAACAGACCGGACAAAGACCAACTCTGGCTTATGGCAAAGGTCTGCCTGGCTCTGCACAGCCAGTGGCACTACCAGAGCATCCATTCCAGCAGAAGCTTGTTCCTGACAAAGACGCAGGGACACACACAGCTACAGCCACTCGCTAATTATCTCCTGTGCCAGGGGAGTGTTTCTAGCTGTTGATGTGGGTAGATGTGAGCTTGAAGGAACTCCAAGGGAGAGGGACCCTCCGTTGTGGGCGGTGGGAAAGGTTTGGGTGAATTTGGGGACGAAGCCACGTATTGGGCTGATGCAGTAAGGGTTTGCTAGTGGGGGGCTGCAGAGGGGACTCTGTGAGGAAAGCTCAGCAGCTGCCCCAAGTTAGAACTCTTTTGCTCGCAACAGTAATTGGTGAGCAACTTCCCTGTTCTCATCTCAGTCCTTGAGCCCTTTCCATTGTATTTTCTCCCTTTCTGTCTTTGAGCACTGGTCCTGGGGCTCTGTGCAGCACTCACTGTGCAGACTCACAAGGGCCCAGCCCGCATCCCTGTGCCATAACCAGCAGCAGGGCCCCCTCAGCAGCCAGGAACCCCAAAGAGAGGCAACTCTTGAGCTTCACTCTCAGACACCACACCACGCACAAGGCAAGGACTCCATCCGAGCACTGCAGCGCATCACCCACGCTGTTCTGGACAATACAGAGCAATCCACCAGCACAAGCTTTCCCATGCAGTTAGCAAAGAGCATCCAGCGCTTCTCCCAGCAGCAATCACCCGTCAGCGTCAGCAGAGCGCAGCCCCCGCTAAGGAGGATCGCGGTCCCAGGCAGCCCCAGCCCTCCTGCAACAGAGCACAGAACAGCCGAGCCTAGATTTATTCGCGCTGAGATTTTAAGGATGCCGCAAACTGGAAGAGCAGCACCGAAGCAGCCGTTTCGGTGCGCGGCTCTCATCGCCCCCGGAGAGCTCGGACGAGCAAAGCACCCACAGCAGCACGCCCAGCCCCGCGCAGCACCGCCGCCGTCCGCAGCCCCCGGCCCGCTAACCTTGAAGACCTGCATCTTGATGATAGCGGGCCCCGCCAGCAGCAGGCAGCCGCCCAGCAGCAGGCAGACGGCCCCGACCGCCCCCAGGCCGACCACCGTCCTCCACCCAGTAGCGCCCATGGCTCGGGCAGCGGGCCGCCCGCAGCCGCTTTATGGCCCGGGCCTGGCGGGGCGCTACGGCGGGGCGGGGCGGGGCGGCACCGCCCCCGTGGGCCGAGCCGAGCGGGGCGGAAGCTGCCGCTGCGTGCGGCCGGGCCGTTCCGGCGTTACCGCGGGCTCCGCTCACGGCTGCCGGCGCTGTGCAGGGGTGTTCAAAGGCTGTCTCCAAACGAGCCCTTCTTCATTATCCCGGCTTGTTCCCCGCAAACCACGACGCGCCACCTCCCTTCGCACCGCTCTCACTCACGTATAACAAGCAGCATCACCTAGGAATGCTTTGTTTTCTTCCCTGGGATCCCACCCTTCTGCTCTGGATGGAGCTGACACTTGGAGCCCCGCAGCTGAAACCCTCACTCCAACTCCAAGCACACCCTTACGCAGCCGGGCAGCGCAGCACTGCCCGGGATACAGCTGTGCATTCATTACTGAACTCTTCAGCCTGTTCTCCACTTTCCCTATGCGAGCGTTTGACCTCAGACACCCAACTGCAAGGAGGTGAGCAGACATCCCTTGCCAGTGTTCTTAGCACCCAGAACTACTCCGTAGCACTTCAGCTCACCAACACAGCGCCGTTCCTACATAGCACACAGCTGGCATGAAAGAGCATTCCCAGAGGTGCTCTATAAGCCACTACTGAAGTTGCAAAGTTTGCTTTATAGACTAAAGCTGCGCAGCCCACTGTCAGAACCAAGCGCCTGCAACAAAGGCTGCAGACTCACTACTGACATCTCACAATTGTCCATCACCCAGCAAACAGATCGCCAAAGCCAGCAGGGAAGCTCACTGGCTTTTGAAGGAAATTAGTATCTTTACAACGGTTTTTACTACATTGATGCAGTATTCAGCCTTCCACTGGGCAAAGCAGTATTACTGAACATTCCAACTCCAAAAGGATTTGCAATTCTGTGTTACATTACATGGTAGTAGCTGAAGAGCACTGCGACCAGCACTGAGCTCAGTAGCCCGCAGGGAGTTACAGGAACACTTACACAACCACAGCACCACCGGCGTCATTGGCCAGGCACGTGCAGGCCTTGCATAAGGCAGTTTTATAACACCTTTATTATCTGGAAATTAAGTAACCAGAATTTATTAGATTGCAATTAAGTAACTAAAATAGCTGCCTGAAGGATTTAAGAGACAGCAATCTTTGTGGATGCAAGAATTTTATTGGAATGAACATGTGCAGAGGAACTTTTTCTTGGAAGCAAGGAATCTCTACTTCAGTTACCACCCCTCAGGCGCAGCACCAGGTGCAGGGTGGACTCCTTCTGGATGTTGTAGTCAGACAGAGTGCGCCCGTCTTCCAGCTGCTTGCCAGCAAAGATCAGCCTCTGCTGATCAGGGGGAATGCCCTCCTTGTCCTGGATCTTGGCCTTCACATTCTCAATGGTGTCACTGGGTTCCACCTCCAAGGTTATGGTCTTGCCAGTCAGGGTCTTCACGAAGATCTGCATCCCTCCCCTCAGGCGCAGCACCAGGTGCAGGGTGGACTCCTTCTGGATGTTGTAGTCAGACAGAGTGCGTCCGTCTTCCAGCTGCTTGCCAGCGAAGATCAGCCTCTGCTGATCGGGGGGAATGCCCTCCTTGTCCTGGATCTTGGCCTTCACATTCTCAATGGTGTCACTGGTCTCAACCTCCAGAGTGATGGTCTTACCCGTCAAGGTCTTCACAAAGATCTGCATGCCTCCTCTCAGGCGCAGGACAAGATGGAGAGTGGACTCCTTCTGGATGTTGTAGTCAGACAGGGTGCGCCCATCTTCCAGCTGCTTGCCAGCAAAGATCAGCCTCTGCTGATCAGGGGGAATGCCCTCCTTGTCCTGGATCTTGGCCTTGACATTCTCGATGGTGTCACTGGGTTCCACCTCCAAGGTGATGGTTTTGCCAGTCAGGGTCTTCACGAAGATCTGCATGTTGGTCTGGAAGGGAGGTCAGCACACGAGAAAAGGACGTCAGCAGCGCCCATGCCGCCCTGTGACGTCACAGGAGGACCCGCCCACAGCCCGAGGGGCGGGGCCACGCGCCTCCTCCCCTTCCCGCTCAGGGCGCGCGCCCACCTCCTCCATCCTTGAGGCCGCTGCTGCGCCTGCGCGGCCGCCATTTTCCCGGCGGCTCCCTGTTCCTATCCCGTCTCCGGATCGCGCTGCGGCCCGCGAGCGGAAAACGAACAGCCGGCCCACACCCCGTCCACACGCTGCCGGCTCTGCCCGCCATCTTGGCCCGCCGCAGTTTTCCCCCCCCAGCGCTCTCCGGTCTAAGCAAGCAGCACACGCTCAGCCCCTCCGCTCCTCACACGCGCCCCGCCGCCTCTCCTCCCCGCCGAACCGCGGCTGATCCCAGCGGAACGCTCACCACGGCGCTCGCAAGCCAAACCCACGGCACACCGCGGCCTGCCTGCTAAGTCTCCAACTACGCCACACGTTCGCTCCCGCCCCGCGCAGCTTAGATCACTCCGCCACGCACTACTTTCCCGCGGCCGTTGCTACCGCTGTGCGGTGCGGAAGGCAGAGAGCGCGGGGCGGGGCGCGGAGGGAGCAGCGGATGTCGCGGCGCGGTGATGCGGCTCTGAGGGCTGGGAGGGGATCGGCGCTCGGCGCGCAATGTGGGGGTCAGAGAGCGCGGCCGGGATCCGTCCGGCGGGGAGCGCCGTGCGGTACGCTGTGTGTCAAGTGAGAATGTGGTCCTGGGCCGTGGCTCTGCCAGCTGAGGAGAGATCTGCCACAAACATAAATAAGAAATAACGGTTGCTGTGAACAGAGAAACTGTGCTGCGTTTGATGGAACGGAGGAGATGAGGCACCCGGTGGCTCAGCCGTGTGAGATCTGCACGGGCTCAGGTCTGCGCTGCACCAGCGCTGCTGGGCTCGGCGCCTCCTGCCTTCCTACTTGCGGGCCTCCGTGTATTCGCAGAGCCGTGCTTTGCAACGAGAAAAACGAGAACGTGGTGTTTGAGCGGTGAGGAGAATCGAGGGGCAGATGAGCCGTTCCGTGCCGCAGGAAGCCGCGCCGAGAGCCTTGTAGAGCGGCAGCTGCTGCTGAGTGAACGCGATGACAAAACTCACGATGTGGACAAAAATGCAAGGCACCGCTGGAGATGCCGGGGATTGAACCCGGGGCCTCATACATGCAAAGCATGCGCTCTACCGCTGAGCTACATCCCCCTACCACTGCTACCCAGCCACGGCACTCCCTCTTCCATTCGTCTGAGCGGGGGGCGACGCGCGCCGCGGAGCCAGATGGGGAGCGGCGCTGCGCGGGCTCCGGGTGCCTCCTGGAGCACAGAAGCGCTCTGTGTGTGGCTGTGTGTGGTTTTTGTTTTTGTTTTTTTTTCTCTTCGGAAGCCGGAAAAATTCGAGGGAGAAAAAGTGGAGGAAAAACCCCAGGAAGAAATAAAAAAGAGCCAGTACCTCCCCGTCGGGGAATCGAACCCCGGTCTCCCGCGTGACAGGCGGGGATACTCACCACTATACTAACGAGGACGGTGCCCAACGTTCTCCCGAGGCCTGTCCAGAGCTCGGCCCCACGCGGGCGCTGCGTGCTGCTGCCGCTGAGAGCGCGCCGCGCCGCGGCCACTTGGGCCTGGGGAACTGTGAGCTGCTCTGCTGCAAAACGACAGCTGCGGGGGGAACTGGGCAACAAACGAAGGGACAAAAGAAGGCCCTGCCGAAACCCGGGATCGAACCAGGGACCTTTAGATCTTCAGTCTAACGCTCTCCCAACTGAGCTATTTCGGCGGCGAGACGACCGTTCTCGGGCTGCCGCTACGACCCCGCCCAGCCCCGCTCGTCCCTGAGTTCGGTGTGGCGCGAGCACGTGCGGACGGCCGCTCGGGGCAGTGCGCGGCTCCGGGGTGGGCTGTCGCCTGGGATCTTCCCCATATGTCCCATCGCTCTGCTCTAAAGCCTCGGAGAACGGATAGGCCCCCGGCACCCCGCGGTAACCCCCCCCCGCCAAGGCCCTGAGCGCCGTCGCTGTGCCGGGGCGTCCAGAAGAAAAAGCTGCGCCGGCGGTCAAAATATTAACGGCCTCCCCGTCGGGGAATCGAACCCCGGTCTCCCGCGTGACAGGCGGGGATACTCACCACTATACTAACGAGGACAAGCGCATGCAGCGCTTCCGCTCTGCTCCTGCTACAGGGCTGCAGCTCAGCTGGTGGCGCGCGACGGCTGTTGAAGGATGTGTGGGTTCTGCGGGTGGCGTCTATTCAGCAAGGGGATGTAGCTCAGTGGTAGAGCGCATGCTTTGCATGTATGAGGCCCCGGGTTCAATCCCCGGCATCTCCACGTTTTTTTTTCCGCCTTCGTTTTTCTTCGCTTTTACACCTTCCACACCCCTTCCTCGATTCAGAGGCAGAAGCGCTCTGCAAAGCCGGCTACCTTGCTTTCACTCGCCAAGACTCCCTGTATATAAATATCTCACCTTTGCTGTTTGTAAATCACCACCACGCTTAGTTTTTTTTCCCCCCTCCCAAACAGGCTGCAAAGTGCATTTACAACCCCTGCTGCTGGAGTTAGTGCTGAGCACCATGGCTCTACTACACCAAAGCTTATGAAACAAAAAACCTCTAGTTCTTAGTGTGCTGTAACTCACATAACCCACACATTTTCTCACTTCAGTTCTTCCCCACACAGTTCTATAGGGCGAAAGGCAGCGAGTGGGCAGCACGATGAGGCTGCAGCCAGCCCAGCATGAGGGGAAGGCTCAGTCCTTGGAACCTGCAGAACCATGTGAGGAAGGGCCTGCGAAGGTCTAACATTCCTTACAACACACTGTGTAGAAAACATTTCTCCCAACCAAATCAAGAATTACATATATTTATTGTAGTCCCTATGACTAATATAGTCCAAAGAGAAACTTCAGCAAAACATAACTGGTAAAATACAGTGGATAAAATTATCCAAATATTAACATTATAAAGCACCCACCAAACAGCTGGTGGGGCTTCTGAGAGCATAGCAGGCTGAAAACCAGAGCCAAGAGCCAGCTAAGAGCCACAGAAAGGCACTGCTAGCGGCCAGGCACCCCTTCTGATCATCAGATCTTCATGGAAACCGATGCTCCAAAAACACTTTGGAGAAAAGGAGCATCCCAAGAACAGAGCTGGGTGTCACAGTGCTACTGGCGGCCACTGCTTGGCTATGTCCTCGTGCATAACCTCAGGGATCCACTGGCAATAGGCCGCGAGCAGATCTGGAATAGAAAGAGAGCAGCAGTGAGATGGCCTAATACTGATCAACATCCATTTGGCTCCTTCACAAGAATCAAAACTCACAGCATGATGGATTCTATTCAAAAAATAAAAATTTGGAGAATATCAAGTGAAACAGCCACCTTACACGTACCTCAAAAACGACAAAGTCCTCTGATAGGACTAATATTTAAGTAGTAGGTCACTTACACTTGGGGTTTTTCTTCCATGCAGCCAGCAAAGCATCACGATTATCACAGTTTTCAGCAACCAGAGCCTGCAGGAGGAATTCTGTCCTGGGCTGAAGCCTATGTGAGTCCAAGACAAAACGGCACCATAAAGCAATGAAGCAATGACCATCAGCTCAGTTTAGCAGGGTTACAGATTCAGCTCACCTTTCTGAATTCATGCCCGTTATCAGTGAGGGCTAAATACAGATGTAAACACAAGGCCTCTGGATACAGAGACATTTCCTTAGCTCAAGAAAGCCCTCATGCACTTGTACAGAGCCACCCACAGAGGTCAGTGTGATCAGTGCATTGTGTGCTTCCACCCAGCCCATACAATACTGCAAGACAGTTTTTTTGATTAAAAAAAAAAAAAAAAACCAAAAACAAACATCCAAAATTACAATTTTCACCTCTCTGCAAGGAATCCTCAGCTCACTGCCTCATACACCCTTCCCAGAGTTTAATTTTTTGTTACTATTTTTCTGAGAAAGTTAAAAGCATTCAGTGGAGAAAAGCTTTTCACAACTTACTTGGACCACGTCTTCAGCATTATGAGAGGACTGGAGAGCAGACACTGGCTGTAAGAACCCAATTTCTCAATGACCTGTGAGATACGTTGCAGTAAGCACAAAACAAACAAGGTAAATTGTTCTGTGGAAGCAATCATCAAAGAACCTGAATTGCTGTAGGTTTCAGCCCCATATCCTGTATCCCCAACTCTCCCTTGCAGATCTCCCCAACCTTGACCTGATTGCCCTGCCTGATGACTTGTCTCTCAGAATAGAGACACAAGAACTACAGCCTTTTTCCTCTGAGAAAACAGGACTTAAATTTGGGTCTCTTTCACCCACTAGCTAATTCTCATGCCATTCTGTATTTTCAAGCTCTATCCCACCTCACCAAGTTTAGCCCGTTCCAGCAGCCATTGGCAAGCCTCATCTTCAGAAACTGGGCTAAAACACTGCTAATGTCCAAGAAGTGTTGCAACCTGACCAGACATACCTTTCCTTCAAGCAGGAACCTGGCAAAGTACTTATAGCGGTCGATACCTTCTGGATAGTCAACCTCGACAGCAGGGAGCTGCCAGCTAACTCGATCTGGAAAGAGATCACAAAGTCTCCTCAACACTTGATGAATATAAATGCCCACACGTACCACCAACCCTGGCAGCCTCTCTCTTTAACAAAAATTAGTGATGGCCATAAAACTGCCATGCCAATGGGAAGACATTAACATTTAAACACTTTAAATCCTGTGAATCTGCTCACATCGCTGTCAAGCCCTTTGAAGAGTCCAAACTGAGCTCTACCCTTTGATACTGTGGACAGCATCATTAAGAGACATTACAGTAACTGACTACAGGCAAAATGACCGAGAGAGACATTGTAAGAAGCTTACAAAAGACACTTGGCCTGTGACATCGAATTCTGCCTGTTTCAGGGCAGTAGGATGGAGGAGGATTTTCCAGAGGTTTCCCAAAGTGGCAGTATGGTGGCAACAGAGCAGGAATCCACTCGGGTTCAACTGCAGACACACCTGAGAAAGGGAAAACACACCTGAAGGAAGCCTTGCTGCCAAGAGCTGCCACTCAGTAGCAGTCCTATGAGGGAAGCTTTCCGCTCTGCATTCCTAATCAAGTCTGCAGAATGGATCATCACACACAGTCTCACCTTTCATGTACAGTTTTGTGGTCTCAACAATTTCTTGATACACCACAAACTCTGGGAGCTGCCTGAAAAGGACTGAGCTTGGATGGATAAACACTGGGTCGTCCAGAAGAGCGGTCTGTAAGAAAGCACAGAGGATTGAAGCAGAGTAGGAACAGTTACTGGCAACCTCATTTCTTGATTGCATCAAATTTCACTCTCTCTCAGATACACATTTATAACGCCTTCTTAAGCGATGGAGGCATTTAATAACACTTTTCTTTTCTGCTCTCTTTTCTCTGGGGGCATTAAGCACTCTGTGAGATGGACTAATGGCCCTTTTACTCTTTTACAGCAATTCCTGCACAAGGACTTGGAAATTGCAACACTGGAAACTTCAGTGGCAAGAAGCTGGAG